CATTTTTTCTGTAACTCCAACCCAATTCCCAGCCTAAATGAGAAGAACAGTGCAACAGCTTTCAGAACAGATTGGAGGTCTGTGCTGCAGTCGGCAAACTGGGTGGTGTCCATGTGGCAGTCAAGCTGCCTTATAATATTGGGCAATAAACAAGCAGGAACCTTTCTGATATTTAACAACTGCACCATAGTTTCTAATCCTTGGGTAAGATTAACCTTAGGTCTGCAAGAACAATAACAATAACATATTTAAGAATAAAAGGTTACGGTGACTGCCAGCCCCCCATGTCTGGCAGTGGAGAAAGAGAAAGTTTTCATCTAAGGGATGTGTTAAAATGCTGCTTATGTCATGGTTGGGATTCTCTGGCATGGGTTGAGTTAAATATAAATAACATTCTGCAGAGCAGTCGGCTAAAAATTGTAGATTAATTACGTTTCAGTATTATGGTTGAAATCTGTTCTTTAGCTGGATCTTCAAACAACGGAACGTGTCCTGTTTGTGCCTCCACAGGTTTCATGTCAGTCCATGAGTATTTCCATGCACTTGTACAACCTCACTCAGGATGTTGTGTGCTCCACAAATAGATGGTACTGTGGGTTTTACCAATAGATCCTGTTCCTGCTTGTTCTGTGGTTGCTGTTTTGCAAATGGGACACAGTATATAGCCCGTTTCATCCCGGAAACCTGCAGCATTGTCTGTCTCGGTGCAGAAGTGGCAGCAGCACGGTCCCTGGTAGAAAGGAGGGAGGGAGAGGCAGCAGCCTCGCGTTTGGGGCACGGTAGCCACTTCCACCTGGCTCCCCCAGAAGGAGGTTGCTCCCTACTACCTGATGGCCAAGTGCTCGCGATGGCCCTTCGCAGCCATACTTAGCTTGAAAACTGGTCTGGAGGAAGCCCCACCATGGCACGACAGATGGGATTTTGGGAGCAGACAGATCTGTGTGCTGGAGATTTGCTCTGTTTACAGCCGCCTGTGGGCATGCAGACAGGCACGTCCACTCCAACCGCGGCGTCAGCCGTATGCCAGAGCTGAGTAGGGCAGCTTCCTAGTTTAAATAGCAGCTTTGCCTGTCTGCATTTAGAATTATTTTGATGTTACAATGTGAGAGACGAGAACCACCAGTGTATGCAAAGCCTGTGGTGTCTGGCTGTGCTTGCTCGATGGGAAGGACTGAGTGGGATGGCATCTGTTTGTATTTAACCCACTCCTGTGGGGAGGTATGTCCTTCACACGTGTATGTGTTTGTTTGTCCCTTCTCTTTGTAACATCTGAGCACCTTTTTGTGATAAGTGGCTTTTACCCTCAAGATACCCGTGTGGCAATATCATCCTCATCTTACAGATGGGGCCTCAGGCCTGGAGAAGCCAAGAGCTGCCCAGAAGGCTGTAATGGTGCCGTGCACTGGGCACGGTCTGGTTGAGCCCAGTGCCCAGTCCACAGGACCAGTGATCCTCAACCTGTAGTTGATCTGCAACAGGAGCCCATCAACACAACATTGCCTGCAGTCGTGGGATGGCTGGGAATCATTCACAAGGGTGCCTTCCAAAATTTGCTCTTCAGCAAATTTTCCCGTATTGCTTTGAAGGAAAACGTTATGAGGAAATGGAGTTGATTGCAATAGTAAATGCGTTTTAGATGTGGCAATGAACTAAGTGCTCCCGATATATCACTTTTCCCTTTCTACTGACACATTCCTTGGTCCCCTTGAGTAAGAGAAGGAAAACAGGAGAGGCGGTTTGAAGAACATGTTGTCCCTGTGATTGACAAGAGGTTGTATAAATCAGTCAAAGGGAATCCTCCAGGCATTCCCTCTTGTGGGAAGATCCCACAGTTCTCTCTGGCCTTCTTCATTCTGTCTCTTGATGTTTGTGTACAAAATGTGTGGGTGGGAGGCGAGCTGGATTAGAACCTCCGAGAGGAACAGACATCAGCTCTTTTAATTGAAAGCAGCTTCCTAGGGAGGGGTACGACATGGACTTCCAGTAAGAAGACACAAATAGTCCCCGAATACTTTGGAGCAGATACTAAGCTCCCGTGGATCCCAGTTGCTGTGTGGGTCTGAGAACCCGGATAAGCCCCAGTGAGCGAAGTTTTGAGTCCTGCGTGATGCTGTTACTCTTCAAAGCAAATACTTCAGTGTTTGGTAACACCCTGAAATGAAAAGTACATCTATCCCTTCTTCCCTCCACAGCTGTCAGGTGCTTTTAGCTGCTGTTTTGCATCACTGTAGCAAACCAGAGGATGTTAGGAAATAATTCATTTCTCATCAGTGTGAATTCCTGTGAATTTGTAGCCGAGATGATGTTCTGTCTTCCAGGCCATTGGAACTTGTAGCTTAAAAGTGGTGGTACTGCAGTAATAAGTGCCTTCATGCTGCTGCCATCTTCTAAGGATGCCTTAAAAGCAGAGGTGTGAAAGGCTCTCCCAGCAAATGGTTCTCAGACTTTGCAGCTGTGCTGTGACACTCAATAACTGGGTAGAATTGAAAAGGGGATGTATTTACCACGTGTATTAGAGCCTATTGAGATGGTGGAGTCTGTAGGTGATAGGGACCGTTTATCCTATCGGATTGTTACTACAAAATCTTCAAGAACTTTTTTTGCCATTAGCTGAGTTTACTAGGTAGCAGCTTGCATAGAAGAGGCTCTCGTAGCCACTCCTAATGTTGTGTCTGTTAGCCTTTTCCCACACTACTCAATCATTCTCTTCTCCTAAAAGAACTTTTTACCCCAGTACCACTTTGAAACCTTTGTCTGAGTAGCAATGGATCAGCCTCAGCAGGAGGACACTTATCTAACCTGTTCAAACCAGGCCAGTCTACTGAGTCTGCACACCTCGGGTGCACATGTCTCAAACACAGGCTCTTTATGCAATGTTAAGAGTTTTGCTAATATTCTCAGGCAGAAGCAGAAAGTGCTAAAGTTCACACACACACAAATCAAACAAGGCATTTAAAAATTATCAGAGATTTCCAACCCACCTCAGAAAGGGTTTATTTTGGGTTCGATTCAAACTTCTGGTGAAGGTCTGGGTGATTTCTTAATACAGGTTTTCACTCATCCATTAATTGGCACTTAAAATGCACCTAATGTCAGGACTTTTGTTTCTTTCAACCACTTTTTTGGACCAATAGAGCAGGAGGAGATATAAGAATAAGAACAAAATCATATAAAAGTAATGAGACTTTGTTCATGTCAAAGAGCTCTCTGACCATATAAATTGCAGATGTGGGTAAGATAAATTCCCTAGCTGGAGAGGTATTAAAATAAAAACCATGCTCCCAACAAGAGACAGGCTGCTGAAAATGCAAGAAGGGAGAATTGCGAAATGGTACATGTCGAATTGCTGGCCTGGATTTCAAATGCCAAAGATAGTTTATGTAAAGCCTTGCTCTGCTGTAAAATGTAACACTATCCACTGGCTAGCCTCAATGAAGCTTGGTCCCAGTTGTTTTAAAAAATAAACTAAAAATCTTCTTCCAGCCCATTAAAGCTGATTTATGTTTTGCCCATAGATTCCTCAGTGCTGGATCTTGAGGGACTCAGATTATAGAGGTGATTACCTCACTTTTAGCCAATCTGGTTTCTCATTCCCAGGCATCCCAGGCTCTCTTTGCATTGCCCAGGCTTTGCTTGCTGAGACCAAGAGGACAGTTCTGTGCAGAATTACTGAGTGGGCATAGGATTTTGAATGGTTAAAGCCATCTCTGTTAATTCTCTTGTTTCACTTCAGAGTTTTCTTTTTGTTAGCAATCAGGGAAATTGCTTATGGGAATGTCTTTACTGACAGCACGTACCACCTGATTGCTCAGTTCAGGCTCTGGTCTTGGAAAGAAATCAAATGCTGTCCCCGAGAGCGCACAGCTCCAGTTAGCCCGTAGCACAGGTGGTCCTTGTGACCAGTCCTAGGCTGCCCTGTGGCTAGCACAACTGCTGGAGGTGGGTTGGCCTCTTGGGTTACATTCATAGCTCCATTGCCACTGTACTGTGTGACCACAAGGAATTTCTTCTGTCCCCATGACTCTGGTAATGACAGTCACTGAGTTCACCAAAGTGTTGTGAATCTTAGACCCTTCGGATGCTCCGAGAGCCTCAGCTGGAAGCATCCTTCTGGTGCGGTTGTAGCCTTTTGTATGGTGGGCATTTCCTGTCTCATGTTTGTTGGGGGAATGAAGGCTATGGTCATGCACGTTTCTTTTTTGAAGCAGCTACGCTGAGCAGTGTGGTTTCAGGGTAAATCCTACCATTCTTGGCATTTCACATCTTACATACTGACGGCACGGCAAGGCTCTCTGGTACTTAAATTCAGGCATTTTCTTCTTTGAACTTTTCATCCAAGCCAGCACTTGGGATTCATCTACTTGTTCTTTATTGAAAAGAGCAGTTTGCTTATAATCCCACTGCTGCCTGCTGTGGAAAGTGCTGTAGATGTAGGAAGAAGGTGATTCCACTTACAGAAACTAGTTAACAAAACAAGAAACTAGTTTATTTGAATTGGGTTGTAGAGACAGGCCTTTCCTGGCTACACTTGCTTCCAAGTTTACATGGCCATCTGTGGCTTCCCTGGGGTTACAGCAACATGCAGGTTTAAGTAGGACATTGAGTACTGTGGAGAGCATCTGCAGGCTCTCTGTGCTGTGAGTTGGTATGTTCAGAAGTGATCGTCACTTTGACTCCGGTGGGAAGAGTCGTGGTCCATTTGGGTGGGAGCAAAGTTGTTCTGAATGCTGTCAAAGACCTCGTACCAAATTACGAGGAAACTGTTGGCTGCCATCCAGCTGCTGTGAGTCTTTAGCTCCTTTGCATGTTTCAGTTTTTCTTATTGAGGTGGAAAACCCGGAAACTTCACTTTTGAATAATCTCATGGTATTTAGAAACGTCATTATTGTGTGTTATTTTATTCTAGCAGTGCACCTGGACTTTTTTCCCCACTTTAAACAGTCATAATCCTTCCTTACTGTCATCTACGTCTGTTTTTGTGTTTCTTTTTTCTCTCGCAGATGTGTCGAACTAAGGTGATTGACTTGAACGATGGCGTCTCTCAGTATGCCTGGTATCCCTGCACGGCCAACTTCCAGTACTCCCACATGACACAGACCGTTTTCTGGCTGAAGGTAGGAAGCGCACATGTCATTCAGAAGCCTCCTCTTTGCCTGCCTGTACAAAGTTTCTCCAACAGGCAAAATATCATGGGACAGCCTTCCCGGGGCCACGCTGCTCCTTTCTTTGAAGTATGTTTAGTGCAAAATAGCAAAATGAAGCCTCTGAGCACTGTGTAGGGAGTCAGAGGTGATGTCCCCTCCTGTAACAAGGCTATTGAATTTCTGAGAGGTTGCAGCCTCCAGCTGCAGGGCTGTTTGACTCGAGTTGATCTAGTTTGTGTAGGAGAAATTAGAAGAGAAGACTTCTGTGTGACCTGGGATGGGAATTGTTACTTTAAAAGTGCTGGACTGACGTTTGTTTTTTTTAAAGCCCACCACAGTTCTCCACATCAGCCTTTGTGGGGCTTTTGTTTTCGCAGGCTTATTTTTCCCAGCCAATGGTAGCTGCGGCAGTCCTAGTTCACTTGGTCACTGATGGGACCTATTACCTGGATCAGAAGCAGGAGACCATCGGTGTGCAGCTGTTTGACACCAAAGAGCAAAGCCATGATCTTGGTAAGACTGTATTTTGTTAAACTCCCTCTTTATTGCTTGCTTAATCTGTTGGTACCCCCATTCACAAACGGACCAATACTCCTGCTCAGTTTTTCCAGGATCAGACAAAAAAAGGGCTTGCTTAACGCTACAAAACCTGAGTTTCACTAGAGTTTGTTGAAAATGCTGCATCATTTTATACAGACATTTCTCTATACCTGTTCACTGTATGTTCAGAAGTGATTAGATGCTCTTCAGTCATGAAAATGAGCACTGTTCAATGCTTCTTGCACGGCACCTCCCTGGAGAGACATCGGCAGTGATACAGATGAACTGCTGGTAGCAGGGAGCGAAGCAAACGCTTCAGCTTCGCAGGGTGTCGTTGGTCGGTTCTCTACACCCACTTGCAGGGAGGTTTCCACAGCCGTTTAATGGCCAAAACTTCTCATGCAAAATATTTCAGGTCTGATAAGGTCTAACACCAGGGCCCTTGCGGGCGGCTTGCATGGCCTCAAGCAGATGTCCCTGACAGAGGCTGTGGACCTGCTAGCTGTGCTGAAATGCCAGGATAGACCATTTTTGTCTCTACCGTGAGCACAGGTCCCTGAACCTGGGCAAGTTGTATCTGGTGAATTGATTCTGGCTGCATTTAAGCTCCAGGACCAAGGAGCTCACCCTAGCTCCCAAGTCCATGTCAGGGTAGGACTTGCATAGTCCTTTTCCAGCTCTCCCCTGCCCTTTTTTCCACGAGGAAGAAAGCTGGCCGTGTTATCCTGAGAGCAGTTTTTAAGGAAGCATAATCCCCTTCCCTCAGCTTTCTCTTTTACCATAACCTTGCAATTTTGACAAGCTGAAACTCAAATGAACTTCCTACTAGTGATGAGAAGAAGGGACACGCACAAGTGACAGGTGTTGGATGACTGTCCAGGGTAATATATTATTTGGTGGGGTGTGGAGGAAAAGAAGGAACATATGCGTGGTGTCTGCTGTCCGAGAACAAATTGAAATTCGTAGCAAGTTCTGCAGGTTGAGTCAGGATAGCTCCCAGTTTGCCAGAGCCCCTGGATTAGTCTTATCCTCCTTTCGCAAAACAGTGGCACATAGCTCTTTCCCTCTGAGAAATAAATGATGGAGACACAAGCATGCCAACAAATACTTCATGTGACATTTTATAGAGACAGACAGACAGATTGTGAGAGAAAGAGAACAAGAAAGAGGAGCAAAGAGGAAACTGAGGGTTAGGTTTTGAAATCCTCGATGAAGTTGCAACATGAATTTGGCATGACTCAGACTGACAACTGGAGATCTTCACAGCCGAAATGCTGCCTTCATCATGGAAAAGCCCCTCTGACCTTTTCAGAAGAGGCTGGCCTGGAGCAGAGGAGAGGTGTAGGTAAGCTACCCAGCAGTTCTCACTCCGGCAGAGCTCCCAATCCCTGTTTTGTCTGACTTCTGGGTGCGGCATTAAGTCCTTTTCCTGGATACTGTATTTGATGTGTTTGAATTATCACAGTGGCAACCTAGAAACTGCAGCTGAGATGCAAACTTTGGCATGCACTGGGTGCAGGATTGACTGCAGATGGTCAGCCAGCCATAAGCAGAAATTAGTGGCAAACTAAAAGTACCTCCAAAAGGAAGTAACGATAATTTAAAGCTTGATCAGTCCTCTGCGTGCTAAAGACACTCCCACGAGCAAAATGCAGTCTATCCAGAAGTGCGGTTTCCCAACTTCATCAGAGCAAGCTTTCAGCGCGTGGACTCTCAGAAGATAATGAGAAGCTCCTTCTGAGTCCCAGTAGAAGATGGAAAGATTGGCATGCCAAACCCCTCAGCGCTGTTAGTTCGGAGCCATTGGAGACACGGGGCTCAGCTGCTGGGTACTTTGCAAGAACTGTTGAGGCTTCAATAGGTGGATACAGAGCTACAGAAACAGGGGCAAGCATGGAGACAGCTCTATCTGCCCTGCCATGGGCACGTCTACTATCTTGAGCGGTTTTTTGCTAATGAAGGTGGATTAGTTAAATGAACCCGACCTATTCAGCCCCCGTTTAGCTTGTTGGAGTCAGAAAGCACCAGCAAATGGAGAACAGCTCTGAGGGTCTGGTTTGTTGTGGACACCACCTGAGTGTGAGGAATGAAATGGAAGTGAATAAACAGCCTCATTCGATAAGGGCTTTCTTGGCTTTCCATCAGAGAAGGCAGAAACTTCCAAGGAATTTGGGAACCTGGGATTTTGAGTATTAACTGCACCTGTTTGTAAGTGAGAAACGTGCACCGTTCCACAAGGAGCTGATATCAAAAGACCTGTGGGAGGCAAGTAGACAGGGAGGTTATTTCAGGGTCAGGTAAAGACCAAAACAAGAAGAGGTTTGCTTTTTTATTTTATATTTTTTATTACAGGAAGATTTTTTTAAAGTAGAGGGTGGGAGATAGATGTTTAAAGAGAGTGGTCAGAAGTCTGTCTTAATTCACAGGAAATCACTTTCTAAGGAGAAGAATGAAAACTTTTTTATTCCTTCCCTTTTGAGTCAAGAAACCTGACCTGGAAAATAATAATAATAATAGAAATCCCTGAGCCAGTTAAACATGCAAATAGAATTTATTTTATTTTCAAATTCGTAAGTGTATCAGGGTAGCCAAAGGGCCTGGGCCAAAGCCGTTGCTGGGGGAGCTCCAGTGAAGCGAATGGAGCTGGAGCCAAGCTGATCCTCGGAGCGATGCCACGGAGCCGTGGAGGCAGGGCTTTGCAGTCAGCCGTCAGGCCGTGAATCTCAATTAATGAATTTTGAGGCCAGCCGACAGCTGTCTGTCCTTTGAGTTACCCCTGAGATGGACTTGGCCCATTTGAATTCAGGTTGCCTCTACCTGAAGGTGGGAATTTCTTCCCGACTATCACCGAGTGCCTTCTCTGCTGAAGAAAAGAGATTAAGTTTCCTTGTCACCTCTCTAGTGCTTCTGTGCACGTCGATCTCTTGAGACACTTTTATTTTCCCGAGACGCAATTATTTTCTTCTCAGATGAGATCACCTGTAAAATCCTCAGTGGGTCCATCACCCTCGTTTCTCTCTCCAGAACCATCTTTGCCTTTTTTAACAAAGAGCAAGATACCCTAAGGCTGAAAACCATCAAAAAAAAAATCAAAACTGGGCAGATTTAGCGTAGAACTCATGCAAAAAAGTTTTACGCTGAGTGCTAATGACATGCACAGCTACAAACAAGCCACTGGTGCACTGCCCGTGGTGCACAAAGCCACCCAGCCTGCCGGCACCGTTTGATGCGCGGTATAGAGGCTCCAACTGTCCTCTCAAACCGGTTTTACAATAGTGCGACTCCGCTTCCTCCGTGATGGTTGCTCCTGATTTAACAGAGCACAATAGAAACGTAGCTGTGGTCTAAAGAAACTGCTCTGAGAGCCTGCTGCGCTTGTGGAGAGAATGGCAGCCTTTCTTCAGCTGTCTGGAGGGATATACTTCTCAGCTAAGCTCTCCAGAGCGATTTGGGAAGCCCCTCCAGGCAGCTTACCATAACTTTTCAGCTCTATAGGGCCGTTCCTATGGGTGAAATGCTTCTGAAGTGCCCACGGCTTCGGGAAGCGATTGTGTTAAGTCTGACCCTTCCTCTGATCTTGTCTCTCCTCTGGCAGGTGTCCACGTCCTGAGCTGCAGGAACAATCCCCTGATTATCCCCGTCATCCATGACCTCAGTCACCCTTTTTATCACACCCAGGCTGTCCTCATTAGTTTCAGCTCCCAGTTTGTGGCCATCTCCGGGGTGGCCCTGCGTTCCTTCCACAACTTCGACCCCATCACCATCAGCAGCTGCCAGCGAGGACAGACCTACAGCCCGGCGGAGCAGAGGTGAGCCTGTCAGCTTGCTTCCTTCTGCCTCGCCACCCACTGCCCCCCGCGCCACCCGCCTGCGCCGGGGGTTAAGAGGAGGCAGGAGGGGCACAGGAGCTGAACCCTGCTGACCCTTTTGTGTCGCTGGTAAAAAACCGGCAGTGTTCTCATTGATCAGGATGGATGGGACATTTAACCCGCATGGTATACTGTTAGTGAATTATTTCCTCTTCCTTTCTCCTCCCTCCTTTATCCCAAGCTTGGAATTGGGGCCAGTTAACTCTCCATACATTCCCCAGTACGGCATCGTTTTCGCCACTCACACCCCAGCCTTGATCTAAACTGCTTTGTGCTGCTAAAGTGCTACAGGGACCTCCCACGGAAACGGTCACGCGGAGACAAAGTGATGCTTGTGCCCCAAAGGGGCCGGATCCTGCAAGGTGCTCAGCCCCGTGCGGCGGGTGCTTGGCCACCAGCATCCGTGGTGCTTTTATGGCTGGGTAAGGGCCCTCAGTACCTCTCCGGATCCGGCCCACGTTCTGAAAAGCTCTGTGGGACCCCCCAGGATGAAAGGTTTATGGCTACCGTTTTATTCTTGTTGTTATTACAGACACATCAATAGATCACCACCAACCCCTCTCAGTCTCTGCTTTACAGCATCCCACAGAGATTGTGACCTTTCGTGGCCTCTGGTGCGGCAGCTTCATGGATCCTTTCAGCGAGGCAGTGAAAAGAAGAGGGGAGAATTTAGCAAAACCCCTGAAAGAATAATTTTTTTTTTTTTTTCCCTTTGTGAATTCAAAGTTGTGAGCAGTCGTCATACCATAGCGGCAGCAATAGTAAAACAAGTTGCAGATCCCAGCAAACCTCTGCTCAGCCTCCTAAGCAGGCTCTCAGGTTTTTTGATAATGTTCTGGCTTGTTTTTAGGACCTGCTTTTATTCCAGGGAAGGGGGGAGAGTGAGAAAGGGGGAGAGGGAAGGGAAAATAAAATTAAAAAAGAGTATATCTATGGCTAAATCAATCCAGTCAGTGTGTTCTGACCTAGATTCAAGGAGTCTGATCATTCTGTGCAATAGGTTGTATAAATTCAGAGGCCCAAAGACAGCAGGATCAAGTTTCAGATGTGAAATCTAGTTGTGGAAGTTTGGCCAAATCCCAGTGTAGGAGCGGGACAGAAAAAGAGCGAGAAAGACCCACTGGAAGGAGATGGCGAGAAGCGACAGGGAGCTCGAGAGGGCTGGGACGCAGGGCCGCATTCCTCCCTCTCAGGTTTTCAGGAGGAATTGAACCATTTGTTCACTTACGAAATTAGAAGTGCTCTGTGTTTAGAAAGTTATTTCCTTAATAAAAAATGCTTTCCCCTTAGGCAAAGCTTCAGCGAGCCTCTGCAGCCCTGCAAACTAACCTTTAGAAATCTCTTGAAGAAGAATCACCCACCATTTGCCTCTTTTTTTTTTTTTTTTCACTTCTTGAATATTTTTTGAATCGTTTTGTTTCCGTGAGGCACTGAACCATCTCAGCCCCTTGCTCTCAAAAACTTCCGTCAGAGCCTCGCTCGTTCAAAGTAACGTTTTAGGTCTTGCAGGTTACAACGCTGGATTGATCATAAAGTTTCCCATGTCAGTCAAGAAACTGGAAACTCTCTGAAATAAAGCCCTGATCCAAGGCCAGTTGAAATCAGTGGGATTTTTTTCCATTGATGACAGTGCTGTAGTGGAAAATCTCCAATTTGCCTTGTGGTGGGATCGTTTTGGGTGACTTTCTTCTTCTGTACAAGAAACTCTAAGCAGTTCAGGTATCCAAGATGTAGAGAAAGTTGTGCGGCCAGGAAATAGGTGACACATTTGCTGTCACCTGCCATCTTTTTCCTTTGTTCTTTTACCCAATCCAAGAAGAATGTAGAAAGAGGGATTTTTAAAATCTGTTCTTAATCAGTTCAGAAGCTGGATATGTGGGTCTTCTGCCTTCTGTGCTCATGGTCTCCCCATCAGACTCCCTGTGAGTGCCAGTCCCACAGTGCCCACCTTTCCCTTCTCCTCTTTCCCCACTGGTTGCATTTGCCTAAGATGATTTTTAAAATATTTATTTAATTTTTAAAGGAACTTTCCTTCCTATGTGTAAGCATCAATTTTGCTGCTTTCATTTTCCTTAGGTCAACATGGATATTTTTGCCTGCTTTTTGGCTTCTCTCTACAAGAGATATTATTTCTCTCTCTTCAAGGAGAATTATTTTGGTTGGAGAGGATTTATAGCCAGATACAGACACTTCTAGGCAAGGGTGCAGATTTTAAATATGTGAGGGAGAAGAAATATATCAGCTCTTAAAAGTTAGCACAGCTTTTATTTTGAGGGTGAATGGATCACTCCCATGGGTTAGTGACAACTTAATAACTGAAAATAAAACATGCACTCACTCTTCTTTTTTAAAATATGTATTACAGTTAATATTTTAGAAAAGAAAAAGGAGCTTAAATGCAAAAGTCCCATTGAACTTTATAGGTAGTTGTTCTCAGTCATCGTTAGCTCTTTTGAAAATCCATTCCATCCTTCTGAAGACATTTATAGAGGATTTGAAAAAAAATACTCTGTACTTTCCAGTTGTATTTTTCCAGTTGTTGGTTTTTCTGCTGCAGCTCTTTTTTGTTTTCAGCAAAAGTTTACCTCACTGCTGGAGATGTGCTGTAAAAACGACAAGCTTTATTTTCACATTGCATCGTTAGACCAGATATGATGGCCCAGCTAGTTCTTCCCTTGTGCTTTATAGCTCAAATTATTATACTTTTATTATTTCCTATTTAGCCTTGTGGAGTGGACGGTGAAATTGGGTGTGCAGAAACAGGGGTATAATTTCCCACCTCGCAGTCACTCGAGCAGCAAGAAAGCCTGGTGCATTGGGGCTGCCTTTGACAGGGCTTCCTCAGAAATCAGGTTTTTGTCCTTTTCACTGCGTAAGAACCATCAGCTGGGGGTCTCCATCCCCGGCAAGGCAGTCTGTGTGAAGTGCTGCTTTTCCTCGGTGGCATTTCCCTGCCACGTTCACGAGACCCGTCCCCTCCTCCATCCTGCCTGGTGCCATTTGCTCCTCTCCTGGAAACTTCAGGCGGGAGATGTGAAAACCTAGGTAGACACCCCAATTCAGCTGTCAGAATTGTGGATTTTAGGAGTTTCCAGCTTTCTAATCCTCCATTAACTCCGTGTTCGTAATGGAGATAAGTCTCCCCTCCCCTGGAGTGGGCTCTGGCTGCCTGTGGCTCCCGGCGTGCATGGCCCACGTTGTGCTGCTCCTTGTGCTTTCTAGTTAATGTAGAAAAAAATGCTCCTTTTCTTTGTTTGGTTAAATCTTGGCATGAACTCACTGTTACGGCTGCAAAATTGCTTCTGCAGGGGAGATTGACAGCTGGGGGGGACCAGCACTGTAGACCAAGACCCACTCCTGGCCAACATGCCCTCAGCCTGCCCTCGCCCTGGCCCCCGTGGAGGACCGTCCTCCCAGCTTCACCCTTTGCTGCCCCAAAAAAGCCCCAGGGAGACGTAGCCCACTCCAGCTCTTCTCTTTGTCTTGTTCTGTCCTGCTGTCAGCTTCCCCAACAAGAAATGATGAAGATAAATCTTCAGCAGCGGAACAAATGCAACCGCCCTTTATAGCTCCGGTTATTTTTTTACCTTTTTATAAGGGAGAAAAAACCCAAAGGTTTCCTCGTCTCATTTTTTGTGATTTAATGCAGCTTTCTCTTCCTCAATTCGGCCGCCTTTCCCCTGCCCTGTGTTCTGTCATTAAGCGCAATCTCTGTCAGCTTGCTTCTGGTGAAATTAATGAATTTCTCACAGAACTGTTAATCATAGAAGCTTTGGTCCGTGACATGTGTTATAATTCAATGGGTTTTTAACCTTCGCCCCATTTTGGTAATTGGCAAACGGCATCGTTTGGCTTTTATTAAAGTGGAAGGCGATGTGTTTTCTTCGTTCGCCTGGACAGACTCTGGCAGGGAGACCTGCAGGGCTGCTAACGCCCGGGCACGCCGTCCCGCTTCCAGGCTGGCAGGGCGAAGGGGCTCTGAGAGCTTTGTCAGTTCAAGATGGACCCCCCCAGGCAGCAATCTCTCACACAGCGGGGTGCAGGCAGGCTGAAGGCAGAGCCAGTCCCCAGGGAGAATGTTGCCCTCCCAGTGGTGGGGACCGTGGTGGGGACGTGCTGGCCCATACCTCTCCTTACCTGGGGTTGGATCAAGTGTTTTATGTAAATCGCTGGGTTTCTCCTCATTCCTGACCCTATCAGTTTGAATTAGCGTTTTGCTGTGATCGCCATCGGAGTCAGGCCCAACGGTCCTGCAGTGAGATCGCTGAAGGGACCGTAGGTGATGCTCCTCTTTTGGTCACTCTCATGGACCAGGTTTGAAGGCAAACACTTGAAAGGGCTTGAGCCTTCTTCCAGTGACACATCAGCACAGTTTCACCGGTCCCCATCCAGCCCCAAGGATTTGGGCAGATGTTCTTTGAGGTTTTATGTTAGTACAAGGACACCAATGTGTTTTAGCCGAAGACTGGAGAAGATGAATTCATTGCCACCTTTCCAGTTCATACTTTTTTTATTTCTACAACAAGGAATGTGGCTAGCAGCCTTTGCTTTTCAAAGTGCTGCATATATATTTGGATTAGAGAGAGAGAATCTGCTCTTGCCTTTAGAGGAATCTCTGCAGAGGAGAAGACCAACCCATTGTAAGGAGAAATCTGTTAGCAAAACCCTCAGAAGGCTACACGCATGTGAGTTGTCTGTATGATGGTGTAGAACAAAACCAAAGTGTGCTTCAGAACTGCAGCCCAGGCTGGCCTGGCCTGTAGAAAAGGAAGTCTTTCCTATGTGCAGTAGATAACGGTGTGGCTCTTCTCATAACAAGCGTATACCAGGAGCTTTTATGCTCACCTGTGTATATATGGGTGTCAGAGCTATCATGAAGGAAACAAATAATTAGGGCACTATGTTAAGATGAGTTCTTGGAAAAGCACTTGACCCAAGGGTTAGGAAAAGAAAGTTTGGCTGCTCTAAGCTTTTCGAAAGAGGAAGTCCTGCATTGTTTTTTATGTGAGGAAGGAAGAGTTCCACTTAATTGTTATAATTCTCTATAAACATGTTAAAATACAAATGTTTCTAGGATTGTGTCACTAAGACCCCGATTTAGCAAAGCCCTTAGCTATTTGCTTACATCCCCCTGTAGTCAGATCTATCAGTGGGACTTAACCGTGCTTTTGAAGTTAAGCACATATTTAAGTGCCTTGCTGAATTGGGGCCAATATTGGCACAGAGAAATAAAGATTCAGAGGCTAATGACTGAGCTCAGTTAGATTAGGGATGGGCAGAATGGATTTGAATAAAGTAAGAACTGGCTCAGAACTTCAGCCTACATGTGAAGCTAACTCAGTTTAGGGCTTTTTACATGGTTGACACGATCTGCCTCGATCTGTATTTTTAACACACTGCAAGCAGTGGAATGTGTGCAAGAAATCCACTGCTCCTTGCACTCACCTTGGTGTGAAAATGTGGCTTTAGGAAATCATGCACTGCCAGGGCAAGAACAGGAACAGGTGAATCCTGAGGTGGACCTAGTAAAATAAGCAGTCAGGCATTGCCCCTTGTTCGTTACATATATATATCAGTAAATCATTAGAGTGGTCCTTGGGTCCCTTGCATAGCTTTTGTCCAGACCAGCTCATACTCTGACAAGCAATTCCCGGGTGCAGCTGGGGACTTAGGAGAGACCAGGGATGATTTGAAATAGGCAGTTTTGATGAAGTCACCCAGTTTTGATTGCAAGAAAATGGGATCAGCTGTCCTATGCCAGGAATCAACATGAGTTAAAGTACAAGTGATTTCATTCTCAGATACTCCATATTGTTTCTTTTCCATGGAATGCATAGTTTCTGGAGCATGTGATGATTAACCACTGTTAAATGGCAATACCCATGCAAGAGCTTCTGTAACCCACAATTCTGCAATATGGATGTGATGGATTCTTTGTCTAAACTTCCTACTTGGAGATACTAATTTCTCCTCCTTAATTCTGCATTTGCAGAACTCAATTCAGGATCGTGACTTCAAAATTCATTGGGATTTACGGCTGACAGTAGCTGATACCAAATTGGAACCAGTAGCTAGAGAACCAGAAATATTTAAATTGGAAACATTTGGTGGCAGTGGTTGTTTTTTTGCAAAAAGTGAATGGTTGTATTGTTTGTCACTGAAGTCATTCATATAGAGTTACAGACAGAGAGAGCTGCCCAGATCATCTGCTAACCAAGGCATAATCTGGAGCCTGGAGGGGGTGGCTAAAAATGTTCCCTGGCCATTTAAGAAGACCACAAGGGGACTTGTAAACAGAAAGAAGAACATCACAATAAGTGTTTCTTAATGCCTTTGTCTGTGGTGTTTCAGTTCTGCAGGACTTTTAAGCCCAGGCTCGCGCATCTGGTGTCCTGATATGAACTCAAGAAACCAGATTCTTTTGCTCCTTTACATTGATGGAATTGAAAAGCGATGCCACTTACTGCGGTGACATTCCTCCAGATTTCCCTTTGTGCAAATTGCAAAGGTTTTCTTAGGCTCATCCTTCCCTCTGAAGCCATTCAAGGCTGAATTCAGTGCTGTATTGATGTGTAGCACATTGATTCACGTAAGATATTAAATGAAATAGGTCTGCTATTATTTTATTTTTCCAACTTTAGTGCAAAAAAGTTTTCAGATTTTGTGGGAGTTTTGCAATGGGCAGTCAAGGTTCGCAATGTGTACTTCTGAGAATGGCTTGGCAATGGTGCTCGCTTTTTTCCTCAATGAGTCAACTTCCTCGTCACTGGAGCCCTGGCACGGGAGGAACTCGTATTGCAGCCTCACCGTCTGAAATCGGAGGGGAGCAAAGTGACGGTTAGCCTTCATGGGTAGGTGTAACTGGGGCATGTAGGGAGGATTCAACAAAATGTCGTTCGTCATTTACGCTCTCACTCGACATCTGTGTTCAGATATTCTTGCTAATGTTAATTAGTGATTTATTCAACTAGCAGTGCCGTGAGGTCAATAGTAAGGTACTGCTCCACTCTGGGAGCTGCAGTATGCGAGGCTGCCGAAACAGAGTAAGGTCTGTGGTTCACACTCCTGGGTGATTCATGTGAGGATTTTACAATTGCACACGGCTGTTCTCCTCACCTCACTTCTCTGCAAGAGAAGACCACCTGGGCACTAGGATATACTGTCTGCTTGTTCTTCCACCGTCTCATCCACAGTCATATTGATCGGTGAAACTGAAATCAATGGCAGTTTAAATTTGTATGTCAGGCTGTGAGTTGCAGTGACTGGAAAACATGCGTGAAACCCCTGGTGTGGCGGCGGGGGATCCTACGGAAGGCAGGATCACTCTGTGTAGGTCAGCTCTGGCAGAAGATCATCCGTTCTGCAGAAGTAATGAGCATCACGGTTGTCGTGCTGATAGACAAGGCGCTGTTTGCTGCATACAAGGGTATCGAGTTGGCCAACACAGAGGTGGAATTCTCCTTCCTCAGTCCTGCCAGAGGCAATACTTTGTGCACAATGGGGAAATAAGATCTTTCTAAATGTAGAAATTGTTTATGGCTCATCGCACTCCAGGGAAGGGCTGCCACTGAACAAGCAACCTTAAATTACAAGCAGCGGGCACTTCCCATATAGCACTAGTCTGGGACAGAGAAATGAGTTGTGGAGGTACATAATACTGTCGTTTAATCTGATCTAGAGCTCAGTAGAGACATGTGCAGATGTGCTTCTCTATCAGTAACATGGGGATAACAATACCAGCCCAGGTGTCTCACAGAGGTGTCATGAAAATTAATTAGATAATGTCTGCACAATGCTTTGAACCCAGCAAAACACCAGGTACGTACTAAGCCCTGTGCTTACTAAGCTGGACGGTGTTTTGGTGGCTGTTAACTCCTTTTTCTAGGAGACAGGAATAGCTTACTTGTAATCCATTTCAAAATATGTGTATTGATGCATTGTTTTCCTTCTTTCTATAACTTTCTGTGTTTCAGGTTCTTCCCTACCCATGTAGATCATTGAAAGAAGTCAAGGTTTTCCTTCCTCAGAATTAATTTAACTGTATTTAATTTAAATTCAGTTTAATTTTCAGCAGAGGTGTATCACCTTGTAGGAATCCTTAACCCCAGAAATTTTGTCGCTAATCCAGCAAAATGTCTTTGCACGTGCTTTAAGACTCTCAGCATTTTCGTTGCCCTTTAGCTGAGGCACTCTCCCATATGTACATTTGAACATGTGCTATAATGTTTGATTCGGGTCATCAGAGATGGTGAGAGATTTTCTGTCAACCAGGCATTTCTGTGTATACAAAAATAAAACAAAAACCTCTTTTTACAAGTTGTGCTAAATGTTACAATAATTCACTGTAGGGACAGCAGAGAGTTTCCATCCGGGGAAATATTTTATGGATGGCAGGATAGCAACTGGAGAGATCTGAAATGACAGCATGCTGCTGAGCTTGATAAGAGCTTATCAGCGCAGCTACACAGCTGATGTTTGGTGTTCCTCATGAAGTGGAATAAAATGAATGTGTTGATCTCAATCGAGTTTCCCAGAGATAAGAGTTTCTATCACAAAATCCCCTCCTCACACGTACACACATGCACACTTATCACTAGCAGTATCGGGCGCTCCTGAATTGAGCTGAGATTTAAAATTTGGATGGGGCATAAGGACTGCTCTTGGAGGGAGAGTGCTCTTGTGGAAGGGATGGATGGACGGATGGATGGATGTTGGTACAGGAACAGGAAGGCAACAGTGCAGTCGAATATTGCAGAACAGAAAGTAATTCTGCAGAATTGGCAGGCTCTTCCCTTTTGCCACAAGAAAGAATGTGCTTTCATTGTCATCACCGTTGCCACTGTCCCTGTCCTTCAGGAGACATGACCAGAGGGTGTGCTCATTGGTGAGGAGCCCTTTGCCAAGCCAGGTTCAGTCTGTGTACCTGCTGCCTGACAAGCGATGAGTTTGTCAGTCAGACATGCTTGCTTTTGTGGAATGAATTAAATGAATTGAATAAAAATACCGCTTCTTGTTTCCCACCTAGCTGCGTCCACTACTCCTGCGAAGCCACCGACTGCCAAAAGCTGGAGATTGAGAACGCGCTGCTGAACTGCTCCGGCGGCGGGTGGTACAACGGTGCCCAGTGCAACGTGAGCTGCAAGACAGGCTACGTTTTGCAAGTCCAGCGAGACGATGATCTCAGCAAGAGCCAGGTTTGTTTTGCTGTTTTTGTATGATGACCCACAAGACAGGGATGAGCAACCAGATGTGGAGAAATTGAGAAATAACCCAGCCTAAACTCCAAAATCTCAGCTCAGCCTTGGGACAAGGCTTTATCTAAATACTTCCCATCAGAATAGGAGCCATCCGACTTTGTAGGAAGAGGTACTGACAGTGAGCAAAGCTCAGATGCTTCCCAAATTTAGAAATTTAGAAATTTTCAGCCCAAAAAGTTTAAATATGTATTCAGGCCTTCTCTGATCTCACTGGCTCTACTCAGCTAAACAGTGTTTCTTGCGTTGTTTTTCTGGGGGTGAGGTGTTTGGGGTTTTTGCACAACCAGTTTCTGGGCAAAATACCTAATTTTTATTTTATTCCTGGGTTTGAGGTTAACAATGTCTTAACTCCTTTGCAATGTTTCAGTCCATTTGCTCCCAACCACACCCTGACACTGCAGAAATACATGGTATCAAGGGGGCAGAAAAAGCACCCAAACCTTTCCGCTTCCAAACAAAGCACCGAAAACCTACCCCAATGGGTCAGGGAGTGCTCCCCATCTTAATCCAGTCCTACAGAAGCAGCACGTCTTGATGCAGTGAGTGGGCTATTGAGGAAAACTATCAATTTCTTTAAACATTAAAAAAATGCAGGTCCTTGGCGCTGGGAGAGGTGGACAAGGTGCGGCATGGCCCAGCCTCGGCGTGCCGTTGGAAGCAGGGCGCACGGGGTACGTGGGTGCAGAGCAGGCACCCCGGTTTGTGCTCTCACCTCTAATTCTGCCGGATCCAGTTTCCCCCATGGGCACCTTCTCGCGTGTTGTCGAGGCAGCGCACACATCTGGGGCCGGGGAGGGCTGGGGCGGGCAGGCACGCTCAGCAGCCTGTCTGTATTTGTGAAATACTGTGTTCTTCATCAGCTCGCGGAGGGGAGAGACGGAGGGGAGGGGAATGAGTCAGCCCTTTCAACTCAATTACAAAACAAATAGAGGACCCCACAAGCTGGGCCTCTTCCATCCTAATTGGCATCAGCACCAGAACCCCAGCTCCAGCTGAGCATTTTTACAGAACAGAAAACAAGTTCTCAAACGAGCCTAAATGGCTGAACCAGGAAATAGTTGGAAGGGATCTGTACATTGAGCACGCAGGAATCCCAAACTGAATAAAACAGCCTAAACATGTTTCACCAGCTCTGTGTTATTTAAATGCAAGAAGTACCTTTCGGGGAGGCTCAACCAACTGTATATGGTTTTGCTCTGAGAAGTTTGGTTTCAGAGCCTTGATCAGACTCATATGACAGGAGCGGAGGATTTTAGCACCCCTAGTTAATGTGATTCACTGCTTATTACAACATGCTTCCTCTCACCCTGGTCTACTATTGCACTTTGTCGTCTTTTTTCCACGGATAAAACCCCTGAGGCCGATGGCTTTGTTTTGCTCAGTGCTGTGCATTCACTGTTCAAATCAGGGAAGGAGTGGAGCATCTCAAAGATATCCATGTTCAGCTAAGCACATTAAACACGTGCTTTAAAAGTTTATTCATGTGCTTTGGAGATCTGTTGAAAAGGAATGGATGGTTTCTTTCACTATCGTCTTGTTTTATTTCTTTGTGTCAGGTGCTTCAAGCCAGAACTTGTGGAACATGTAGGCAAGCAATGAATTATCTAAGAAAATCCGGAATCCGTGGTTTGGATTCCTCGTGTTGTATTGAATTGAATTGCGTTGTGCTCCTCCCACAATTGCTTCCCAGCTTCAGCTCCTCTTCGGATCACAAGCCGTTGGAGATGAGATAGGGCGTGTGGGCTGTTAGCTGTGGTCAGAGGGACTTTCTGCCGTGACTGAGGAACCTTGCACAAAGCTGGTGGTTGTTTCACTGTTGTCATTTATCGTTGGATATTTTGTTTGTTTGGCTGATTTGAGGGTCTAGAGCTATTTTTTTCTCATATAACTGACAGTGGGAGGGTTGCATGAGGAAGAGGAGGAAGGAAAATAGCTTTGCACATGCTGATGTTTCACACTCTTAGGTAGGAAGGAGTCTGAGGTGAGGTGCCATGTCTCGAAGAGCAGACTGAGTATCAGTGGCCCATGACCACTGCGTGCTGATGACAATGGTGGACAGACCGGTGAAAACACACTGGTTTAGCGTCTGAACCACATTTGTCTTCCGTATTTCACTGAAAGGCAGAAAGAAAGGGTGAACAGAGAATTAAAAGCAAAATTTTCAAAAGCACCTCAGAGATGTAGGGGCACAAGTCACATTTCAAATCAATCTTTTACATCTAAAGGGTCTTTGAAAATCTTCTTAACAGTTTCTGCACTTTGTGGCCTCTGTGTCTTCTGAAGCCACCATTTTAATCAGTCTTAGGGCAAAAAAATTCATTCATCTCTGCTCTCTGAGAAGCTCCCATTCCCAAATTCTGTTAAAACTCCATAAAATCACCAAACCCTCAAAACCGTCAGCACTATGTACAGTAGAAACTGTTTGCTGTTTGCAAATAAAAAAAAGCTGAGCTGTTTACAAACCCTTGGGCTCTCTCTCATCCTCATTTAGGGACTTCGGCAACAACAACAAAAAAGGGTTTGCATAGCGATGGAGCGAAATCTTTCATGTATCTTTCTCACAACAAAGATCTCGGGATGTTTTTATTTCCCCCCAATTTCTTCCCACCCCCCTGACAACCCCATCGCTCTTTCTTCTCGTCTCCCCCTTTCCTCCCTTTGTCTTTCACAGCTTTACTCCCCCTTGTCCTTCGCTGAAAGCCTCCGCTCATTCACTTACGTGTTGTCATCTCTCCTTGAAGCTACCACCACTGCTGCTCTGGTCAAGAGGTGTTATTTAAAACCCAGCAGCTCCCTAATGTTGTGCAAAGGCATCATCAATCATGCCAGGAAAAGAAAGCGCGGCTCATGTGGGTTCAATTAGAGGCACAGTAGTGGGCAGAAGTGGAAGAATACTTAGAGGGGAGGGCACAGCTGTTCATTTTTAAGGAGAGGAAACTTCACACGTGAAGCATCGCTTGAAGAAGGAGCCGGCTGGGATCTTGGGCAGCAGGAAGGAGACATGAATTCTTCCAGGCTGTTAAAAGTCCCAAGAAACAAATCTTTTTGGCACCAGATTTGTTTAAGTTTGCATCCTCTTCACTGTACTGCACACTGTATCTTTGGAGGCCCTTTTTTTTTTTTTTGCCTCTTTTCTCCTCCCTGCCCACCCTCCCTCCTTGCGTAAGCCTCTTTTGGAAGGCAGGACATGAAGGGAAGCGGTTGCTGTGATGCCAGTCAAAGCAGCACAAAGTGCCCAAAGTGACAGCTAATAAACCAGATGAGAAAGCCAAGTGCTTCGTATGGACTGCTGTGAGCTGAGTGACCTTGTCAGATCAGACAGGCGAAACAGGCACGTGCCTGCTCGGGCTTCGGCTGGGAGATGCAGATGCTGCCACAAAGACCCAGTGTCGGATCCTAAGGCGGCGCTGCTCAGGCTGTCGATTGGAAATACCCCGAGGTGCAGCATGGTGGTGGGGAGAGCCGGGCTCCTGCTCAGCAGCCTGGGGTCCTGCCCTGCAATGATCCCACCTTCGGGTGGGACATTGCAAGAGGGAGAAGCTGAAAGCTGGTGGGTGCCATCTGTGATAATTTCCCTGTTAGGGTTGTCCTCTGTGCTTTCAATCAAAGTCACTAGTCTTTGTCTCCGTTGCAGGGAATGTTCTCTGTTATGTTCTGCTGCAGAAATGCATGTGCTCCTATTGCTTGAATTGATGACATGACAGACATACTCTAAAATACGCCATTATTATGTCTGACCTTGAAAACCTCAGCTCCCATCGTACAAAGTGTGGAACAAATTACTGGAAAAAGCTGAGAAGCCAGGGTCCTGCTCACATGGGCACAGCTTCTCTGCGTGGAAATGGCCTTGCCAGTGTGCCAGGAAGAGGAAAAGCCATACGGGTCTGGAAGAAGGTGACTCTTCCAGATTTGGTTAGTGGTTTTGTTGGAGAAGTACCATGGGGAAAAACCCAGAGGTGAAAACATGGAGAGGCTAATATTTTTTTTTTTCACATCAAGGGACAGAAATAAAGTGCAGTGGGAGTATAGGTCTAACGAGGGATGCCTTCCAGGGAGGGGTGACCCCAGGCACATTGCATTTCCAGCAGGCTGTAGTGTCCTGCACCTTTCAGACCATGGCGGCGGCTGAAATACCCTCACAAGTGTTAGCTTGGGCAAAGTGTTCTCGCCCATTTTCTGTAAGGTGTGACTGTCATGCACAGATACTGCCTCTGTTTAAATTTTTGTGTTATATTCTGGATTCTGAATTTGCACTGTTTATTTGGTGTTCTGTAGAGGTACATCTGATCAACATCTGTGCCACCCTGTCGTTAGAGAAACTCCCTTGTGCACCATACTGTGTCTCAGCAGCCAGCATCAGCTAGTAGTAACAATCATTTATTCCTAAACTAGATCACACCAACACTAATAACTGAATTCTTGGAGTTGAATCTCCTGTCACTGATAGAGTTTCCCTGTGCTCAGCGTGGATCCAGCATCCAGCAAGATACAGTGTAAGCCCCATGTCTTTTCCGTAACGTTTGGATAGCCCCTGACATCAATAGCTTGGGTTTATGTTTTAACCTCCTGCTGTCGAGGTGCCCAGCCACCACGGTGCTGGAGTGTTATTTGATGATAGCATCTGTAAGGGGAAACGGAGGCTTTGCTGAATGCTGGAGCAAGTGGTGGTGATGCTGCTGTGTGTATGCGCTATGTAGGCATGGAGGTGTGCTGTATCATCGCTTCTCCTGTGGCCATCACAACGCAACTTCCTGGAAGCACAGGCATCTTCAAGTCATCAAGTCTCTACAGAATGTATATACTTTTTAATGGTGCAGATACTCTGATAAGCACCAAAGGCAGAATTAATAGCCACTGGGGAGCAAAATGGTTGGGAATGAGAACACAGAGTGTCATTTCACCTGAGCGCTCCGGGAATCCCAGAATGTGCTACTCTCGATTTGTAGAAAAGACATTTTTTTCCATCAGCAGTGCTCCCTGTTTAAATAAACTCCATGGTCTAGAAAAGGGGTTTTGTGCCCACTTGGGAAGTGTCCAGTTTCTCAGCTCTGGGACTGCTTTTTCCATTCTGAATGCAACCATATATCAAAGGGAGACAGGTCTGAACTTCTGTTGAAACCATTAGGGTGTTTTTGCAAAAAGGGAATCCAGGTCCCTTTGATGTGTGCTAGAAAAATTCCCCTTTCTTTTATAAACCCAGATCAATGGTCGTCGGTGCAAATCTCCTGTGAGCGTACCAGTCCTGAATAAAATATTCCCTGGAGGCAGAGGAGTGCTGCTGTACGGCTTGGTCAGGTTCCTCTCCGGTATCTTCCCCTTCTTGTGTTTGGGTTTCTCACATTTCTTTTTCTTCTGTCCCTCTTTTGATTCTGCTATGGAGGGAAGAATCCTACTTTCAGATTTTTCACTTCTAGTTTTTAATATTTTTCCCTTTTTATTTAGAAAGAGGATATGTTGTTTATTCTGTTCTCTTTGCCAACATCTGTTTGTCCTTTGGTCAACCAGTAAATTCTTTGTCTTAGCTTTGGATGGGTGATTCCTTTACCTCCCCCCCCCCCTTTTTTTTTTTTTTTTTCTCTTTTCTCCCCCTCTTCCAGCCTGGATCATCCGTTCTGCTGCATTGTTTGGATTATTCCTCAAATCTCAAAGCTTCTGTGTAGCTATGATGGCAGAGTGACATTAGGGAAGTCAGAGCACAGGCCCTGACTCTGTATTCGACCTCTCAAGTGCCAGGTGAACGTATGGGCAGGATGTTCTTGGGTCTGTCCATTGCAAACTCCTCCAGGAAAAAGTCTGTCTCTCAGGCGTGTGCGTCCCCGGTGCCAGGGCAGCAGGGCCCTGATTTCATTTGGAGCCTCGGGGCACTCGCACAGTAGAAGCCATAACAGCAGCTGTCAGTGTCCGAACGCAATGTTGACATGGCCCAGGCCACCTCCCTTGCTACCCCAGGCCAAGGGTGACTGACGCCTCTCGGGAGAGCCTTGAATAAGAATCCCAAGTGGATTCATGTCAGGTTGGCTTTTACTTCAAGCCCAAGAGTGAGTTTGACTGCTCAAAAGTACATGGGGATCCCTTTGGAGTGGCTATGTCACTGCCAAGGTGACAGGGATCGGGGATAGCTGTCAGCTCCGAACTGCTCAGACTTGCACACTCCGTTCTGATCACAGGGCAGGGCAGCAGCTTCCCGGCTTGTCTCAGGAGGTGATGCAGACAAGAGTTCAGATTATTTGTAGTGCTCCACTCTTTATATTGAAACACTTTGGTGTCTCACCCAGAGGTGACAGAAATACGTCCTGGTCCTACAGCACTGTTTCTTGTGGGACCTTGGTAGTTTTAGTAGCCGCTGACCCAACGATGATGATAGCGCTCAGGCCCAGTTTTGCTTAACTTGAGAGCCAAAATAATGGCTGTTACTAGACTTGAAATGCTTTTGGTGTCTCCCTTGCTGGCTGTGGTGGCTGTAGGCACGTGTCTTGTTCCAGATGGAGTCCAGCATCACCATGACTTGCACAGATGGGAAGTGGAACAAGCAGGTGACTTGTGAGCCCGTGGACTGCGGTGTCCCAGACCAGTACCATGTCTACCCAGCCACCTTCAACTGCAGCGAGGGGACCACCTTTGGCAAGAAATGCTCCTTCACTTGCCGACCTCCTGCTCTTCTGAAAGGTATGGGAGGGTGTCTGTGCAGTGACCTGGGGACAGCTGCACAGCTAACACACTGTTCCTAGTAATATATGTTACTGTTGCTGTTGTTTTAGAATTATTCATGATATTTTAAGTATGAAGAATTATGAGACTCTATGGAAAGGTTTATTTATATTAGAAGTTAAGTTCCTTTGCATCTCTCTATTACCTTCCTTTGACCTTTCCTTGATCACGGCTGGCCAGGCAGTAATGACAGTGAATATTGCTTCCATACAACCAAAACATGGAAAAGTCATGGGGATAAAACAAATTGAACTCTCTCATCTTCTTTCCCATGCCTCTCTGTTTTCTGTGGCTGTTCCCTTCTATGCCTCCTCCATGAATTTGGAAAGGCAGGAGAAGACTGAAAAGTCCCATGTCCCAGTGGTACAGTTCCCCATCACTGTTTTTCCTAATCCACCCATCACCTCTCTCCTTTTCCACACTCATCTTGCTCTACCTCTGACCTTTCTCTCCTCTTCTTGTTTGCGACTGTTTTCTTAAAAATAACCCACACTGCTGCCGCCTTTCCTTTTCTCCCCCGTCTTCTTCCCTGCTGCTTTTCTGCTAGCATCCCCATCATCTTCTCAGCACCATCAACTCTTCTGCTCACTGGCACATTGCCCTTTTTGATCTGTTCCTCAGGAAACAAGAAAAGATATCATTATTAATTTGAAGGAACATTAGAGCCAAATTAACTTGTCGTCTTGCAGTGGAGTAATCTTAACTGCTGTTGTCCACTCAGGTACAACTGCTGTATAAGCTTTTTTTTTAACATGTGGTATCACCTTTTCTGCTAGGATTCGTTGCAAAACCCAGACGAGGCTTCATTTCAGTGAAAGGATATGTTGATTTCTTCATGTATAACCAAATTGCTTAACACTTTTAATTCCGACTTAGGAGGTTAACCACAAGCAGCCAACACACAGTGAAAGTTAAGACTACTCAAAGGGGAGATTGTTATCAAAGAATCCCTTTCTTGTGTTCGTACACTCAGAGCGTCATCTTCAACAAGAGGTGGTTTTTTTTCATTTAAAATGCCTGGAATTTTTTGGAGGGGACAGTGAAAATAACAGTATTCATCATGACCAGGAAGGGCTTCAGCTGATGACTCCGGCAGCGGTAGCTGGAGGGATGATAGCCAGCCCCCAGGTCAGGGGGTGTGGCTGTGGTGCGTAGCATCACACCACTTTTGTCCAGAAACTCTGTGAGCTGTGAGGTAAAGGCACCATTTGGTGTACAGCCATCGGTGATGACTAATAGATGTTGCCACTAAGCTTCTGGAGAATGGCGTTGGAATGACTCATGCCTAATTCAATCACTGACGTCATGACAGCCACTGTTGGTAATGTCACAGCTTATCACTTTGCAGTGGCAAGTATGATATCACCACGGCTGGTCTGCAGAGCTGCTGCATGAGTCAGAGCAGAGGCGCATGCTGGTGCTCTAGAAAAGAGCTCCCTTCTGCACAAAATACCTCTGCAATCATCTGCAGTTGGGGAGGGGAGAGAGAAAGCCAGGGCTGATTTAATGTGGCTTCTCTTATCTTTGTGGGTAGGGCAGGAGGGCTCCTCCACATACCTTCCTGAGCCCTCCAGAGCCTTTTGTTTTCTTCTTCTTTGAATTCCAGCCTCATGCCCCGGCTGTCTTCCTTCCCTCTCAGAGAGATGGCATTGCTCAGGGGTTAGCAGTTTGTCAGTATTATTTTGGATAACTCCGAAGTTGGCTTACTGTTGAAAATATGCCTTGTGGGTTGAGTAGAGTTCCTGCAGCAATGCTCGGGGATTTCAATAGAGTAGTAGGGATTTTTGGAGGGTTAGTGGCTCATAGCTGTGTTTTGTTTCTTAGGAAAAGCTTATTCCTTTTCAACATACAGTATAAAATAACAAAGAATATAAAATACACTGAGACTAGGCTACTTTTAGCTTAACTTTCTGAAGTCAAGTAGGTCATAGGAGAGGCAAATAGATCTATTGTACCTTTTACCTTTGACGTGCTGGCCAAGAAAGCTTGCTAAGGAAAATGAGTCTCTAATGAGTATTATGAATCCTATTTATCACAGTAGTCCCCAAGGACTGAAAGTCCCCAGCTGAGAATGGCTCCTCATTGTGTTGGAGTAGTGACTCTAATACTAACAGATGCTGCTCCAAAAGGCTCAAAATTGGAATAAAAAGGACAGATTCAGGGAAAAGATATAACACAGAAGCAGAATGAAGAATGTAATGGCACCAAACCCTCTGTTAGTGCCATGACTTTGAAGAGGAGGGGGTTGATGCATGAAGCAAGCTTCCTTTCAGAGAAGAACAAAATACAAAGCCCGTGTGGTTTCCCCTATGCTATAGCATTTCCTGAAATAAGCACTGTGTGCCTGTCATCTGAAAACAGAGTCCTTAATGATTTAATGCCGTCATCTAGAAAGAGAAAATGCATAGGACATACACAGTTGAATTTGTCAAACCAACTGAGGTGGCTTTTGATATATTATGGGTGTAATGACATTTTAAAAAAAAAAATAGTCCTGTTGAATGTTGTTAACTTTGCTCACTGTTCTTCTCAGGAAACAACAGCAACTTGACCTGCATGGAGGATGGGCTGTGGTCCTTTCCGGAGGCCCTGTGTGAGCTGATGTGTCGAGCACCCTCCATCGTCCCTAACGCAGATCTCCAGACTACTCGTTGCCGAGAAGACAAGCACAAAGTGGGCTCGTTTTGCAAGTACAAATGCAAACCAGGTTACCATGTCCCTGGATCCTCCAGAAAAGCAAGAAAGTACGTGAAAGAGTAGTGCCATGCAGTCAGCATGATTTAGAAAGCCAGGAGTTAAAGTGATTTTGGGCAAGGGATGGGCTGTTTGTAACAGAATATATGTGCTGTAGGGAATATCACTGAGCAATTCCTTCATGCAGGTAGTTGTGCAGTTTCAAGGGGATTTAGGCACCTAGCTCACTTAGGCTTCTTTGAGAATCCTAACCAGTGCTCAAAAAACAGCCCTTACCTTAGAAATACCCCTTTGATATTTGGGCTGGGGAGTCCCCTTTGAAACTCTGCAGGAAAGGGTTAGGGCTGTCGTATACTTCTGACTCTGCACAAACCCACTTCAAACCAACCACAGCCCACAAGCCTGGGAAGCGGAGTTTTTGGGAGATGTGTCCAAGGCCAAAAGAGGAGTTTAGGCTGGGCAGCTCAATGTTGGCTTTGCAAATAATCGTTATTTTTGCTCAGAGACCTCATGACGCAGATTCACGACTTGTTCCCCAAGTGTTAAAAGCTCAAGCACACCCATCCCCTGCGACCTGCTAGCAGAGCTCAGAGGCTTAAGAGGCTCTTAGCTGACTCAGCCACTCACTAAATGGTCTTGTTTTTTTCTGCACGGAAAGGCGAGCCTTTAAGATCCAGTGCACACAAGATGGCACGTGGCTGCCGGGCGCTTGCGTGCCTGTTACCTGTGACCCTCCACCTTCCAAGTTTCATGGGCTCTACCAGTGCTCCAACGGCTTCCAGTTCAACAGCGAGTGCCGGATCAAGTGTGAAGATGATGACAATCAGTCGGTGAGTCTCTCTTATCAAAATTATCTCAGCCCTTACAAGTGTGGTGTTCCCTAAGGACCCTGATCTTGGAGGGCCCAAGTGCCATTGAGCTCTTCTGAAACCAGAGACAGAGAAACGGAGAAGGGAAATGCACAATTAAAGTAGAGGGAGACAGCTACTGCAAAGAGCCTGGAAACACTTTTTATGATAGTAGTAATGGTATTAAATATTACCTGTAGAGGACTAGCAGTGAGTGACTTACTGTTTCCGGACCATAAGTGGCTGAAAAATCTGCCTCAGTGGCTCTATTGATCTAGCTAGAAAATAAGGAATAGTGAATGAAAGTAAGTGCGATATGAGTTACTCGCACTTGTCCTGGTTGTTCATTCCGTTTTACCTTGCTTTTCTCTCCAATTCTTTTTCTCATTATCATTAGATGTATGTGTGCCATATGATAATTTAACTTTATAGGATTGCAACTATTCAGGTGAACTGTCTCTAAACTTTCATGTTTTTCTGGCTGTGAAGGTGTCATTTGGCACCAGGGGTCAGATCCTCATCCGGCATAGATCAGCCTGTTGCCTTTGACCTCCTAGGAGCTGTGTTCACTTCTACAAGAAGGTCTGGCCTTTAGTGTCTTGTTTGAAATGCTTAGTTTTCCTCACCAGAGGTAATTATAGTTTGTGAGATAAGTAACTTCTCCCAGAAGTGCTGCTGCTGCTTAATACGCTTGGGAAGAGAAAGTGGGGATGTAGAAGCTGCTGCTACTGCATGCACTGCAGAGAGCAGGGAGTGCTCTGTCAAAGGCCTTTTAATATCATTCCAGATTCTGCGGGCATATTAAAAAGGGACCCACTCTGTCCTAGGGCCAGTGATCTGCAAGACACCTCTGATACCTGCTCCAAACTTTAAAAGCCAATCGCTGCTCCCACTCCCTGCCAGGTTGGCCTGCCCTCCTCTTCACAGGGACCACAGGCAGAGCCCCGGGGTTTTGCATCAGGGCACCTGGAAAAGGCTTCCTCGTATGAGACTTACCTGAGGTTATGAGCCTCGTGAAATGAGGAGTTGCACGCGTGGGCGCACTTTGCGTGGGAGCTCTGTGGCTTTGTGCATCCACCAATTTGCTCAGACTGGTCAGCGTGGCTGAAGACGCGTGTCATTGCTGCCAGTGCAGGGAAACTGGGATCACCAGGGTAATTACAACTGGTGTAAGGGATTTGTGTTTGCTTTTCAACGAGCTGGATGTGAAGAGGAGAAAGCAGTGGAGTGAGGGTTACAGCAATAATGAAGTGAGCTCGGGAAAGCTACATCTCTATTCACTGTGAGGAAGAGCATAGTGACTGTTCAGCTGCGAAAGCACCTTGAGCAAAGGAGCAGATAACATCTTGAGAAAGGGATTTGCAGAGAAAGGTATTTCCAGATATGCCAGAAAATAAACTACAGAAAAGGAGGGAGGACTCCTGGCACAAGCCAGAACCACTTGAGAGGTGTTAATTATTTAAGGATTAAACCCCACTAAGTCTCTCTCAGCTATATAAGGTGATAATGCACGTTGCATCCAAGCAAGAAACCCAGCAGGGATTTTCACAAGAGATTTTGCAGGTCAGGGAATGATGGACAGTATGTTACTATAGCAATGGATATCCTGGGATCTCTGAGTACATTGCAGAAACTATACAATAGTACCCTCAAGCACAGCCAGCTCCGGGAACATAAATCAGGTTTCATGGCTCACCTTTAAAAATCATGCTTGAACCCTGGCATGCAAATTGCAATGGAAGTGCTCCACACTTGCTAAACCAGCAAATTGTGCTCAATTATCACTTAGCGATCTCTTCCTGAATTTGTCACCACGCTGAAAGATCATTACTCAGCTGTACATATGGCATCTCTTAATCACCAGGAATGTAATGGTCATTTAAGCAGGTACCTCCCCTGGCACCCAGAGCAAGGGTCTTCCATTTCCGAATATTGTGCACAAATCATATGAACAGTCAGATCTAAATTAATCGGTCTCTGCCAAACTGGCCCTCAGGTGAGAGTCGCCAAGCTGGATCACACCCTGAGTCCATCTGGTCCATTATCCTTTCATATGATTTTCTTATTACTTCTGGCAATGGCCAGATGTCCGGAGAAGAGGAAGCAGGTCCCACACAGTAGTCTGCCGATAAGGCCACTTTGCATCTCACTAAACATTGTGTTCATCAACAAAGCTGAGTTAAAAAAAAGCATTAGGATATTAGGGACAAGACTTAACACTGAAGGCTGCGCAACCTTCCACGCCGGTGCCAGGGGCTTGTGCAGATCCCCGTGCAACAACGGGTGTGGGTCGTGGGGAAGAGCTCTTAAGAAAAGCTCGGCAGCCCTGCTGGGATCCCAGCATAGGCAGCACCTAAAGGATCCCCAGAGATATCCAGCACAATCTCCAAGAGCAGGGTGGGTAGATTGCAGGCAACATGCCTGGCATGTAAAACTGGTGAGGAGAAGCAGAGATCCTGCGTGGTTCTCCCACCCAGCAAGGCCCCCGCGGGAGGTTTGAAGCCCAACCACACCAGACGTCCTCCTGTTGAATGTCCCACATTACCCCATGGCAGTTAGGCTCGCAGATCCTGCAGAACAGCTTGCGCAGAAATCCCCAATGCCACGAGGATAGATCTGACAAAAGATTGCCTGTGCACTCCTTTGTTGTTTCTAAAGGGCATGATATTTCCCCTCGGACTTTGGTATTCATTCTTCAGTATCATACAGAGAATCTTTTCTATAAGAGAAATGTCATATTCTATTCCTTGCCCATTCCCACACCAGAGGATTTTTTTTTTCTCCTTTCCACCTGCCCCTGTGTGTGTCTGTCCCAGCCTCTTCGCTCGCTGTCACTCAAGGCAGCCAAGCTCTAAAGAGCACGTTCTGCCCTGCTAAGCATCCCTGGTCGTGTCCTGCTTTCCTTCCTCCTTCAGATGCCCATTGGGGATTCTTTCTTTTTCGAGACAAAGATGATGCAACTAGTTAGAAAATGGGAAGAGGGAGAAGGTTGTCTGTGTTCAGCACAAACCTCTCAACAACAAGAAGGAAGGCGATTGGGGTGAATGCACCTTTATCGCAACTGGAGTGGGCACAGAACAGGCATGTGTGTGTGTCTGTCTGCAATGCAGGTTTCCTTTTTTTTCATTCTTTGGAAGAAAACTCCTTCTTGCCCCCCAGGACTGGCAGTCCCAACCGGAGGCTCTTCCATCTCCAGCAGAACTTTACTCCCAGCTCAGCTCTGCCCGCTCCTTGTTTCTCAGCCTGTCCTTGCTGTTGTTTTTGTGACCATCCTCGTTATCTCCTTCTCTCATTCCCAGGGCCGTGGAAGCAATGTGATTCACTGCCGGAAGGATGGCACCTGGAGCGGCTCCTTTCACCTCTGCAGGGAAATGCAGGGCCAGTGCGCGCTGCCCACGCAGCTCAACAGCCACCTGAAGCTGCAGTGTGCCAGCGGCTACGGCATAGGTTTGTGAGCATCAGCCCCACCCTCTGCCATGGGGGATGCAGCTCAGCCAGGAGCGGGGAGCAGCGAGTGGGGACAGGAGACCGGGAAGAGGGTGGGAACGAGAGGGAGGAAGGAAGGAGCCTGCCGTCCTTGAAGTCACCTTCTCCTGTGGACCTGTTTGCCTGAGTGCGGGGCTGCTATGGGAGGCGCTGCAGGGAACTGCTTGGAGGAAACGTGAAGCATTGAGAGGCCAGGCATCATGTAACATGCTCTGATTGCCTGCTCCTTGCAGCGCTTCCAGTTTCATCATGTCCCTTCTTGGCCAGCTGGTTTTAATAGGCAGCCAGCACACCAGACTATGCCAGAAACACATCCAGTCCAGGGAGAGACTGTACCTGCATTTGCTCTTACGCTTTTGTAATGTCCCTCTCCATCAACCACATGCACTCCTGCACACCCCAGAGGTTGAAAGGCAGGAAGCTGGCAGGGAAGCGCAGCACCAGGGTAATTCAGGTCTCTCCAGAAAGAATGTGAGACCAGCTGAGCATCCCTTTTGGTATGACGGTTGTTTAGGAGCTGTTGTAAGAGTATGTTTTCCCCCTTCCTTCTGGGATGCCTGGTCACTCTGCAAGGGGTGATGACTTCCTGCGCTCAGCTTTGCCTCGTGTCACCCAGGCAGAGGGAGGGATAGACTACACACTGAATTGTACACTATATTGTATTTTCAGCCCCCGTTTTTGAGGTCTCCCTGCTGTAAGGGCTGCAACGGGAGCTGCACTGGCCGCAGCACGCACAGACCCGGGAGGCCCCTTCCTGCAGCCCCGCTCCCAGCCCCTGCCAGCCCCCTCCTCCCTCCGCCTGTCCCTTTGAACTTGGAGAAATTTCCTCGTTGCGCGGCTCCCTCATTATATTGCAGCCATGCAAGGGACCACGAGCCTCCTTGTGTTCCCTCCCCGGGGAGGAGAACACGACCTGGATGAGATCACCGCTCTGTAATGATGCCAATTACAGATCATATATCAAAACAATTCCGACCCGCTCCTTTCCGTAAGTGTAAATAGCGTGGTGGAGCGCGGGAGGGCAAGCAGGCTGCGGCGACTCTTAACGTGGCAAGGCGTTTTACCCTTGACATGAGGTTACCTCCCAGGGCCCGCCAGGTTTTTGCAAGGAGAGAAACACCAGTTCCTAGTTTGGAGGGAGCATCCCAGTGCTGGAAGCAGGAGGGTCTGTAGCTGCCCTCGCAGTGGGCGCCTGCCAGCCCTCGGTCCTCTCCCAGCCCTGCCGGGGCGGCTGTCAGCAGGTGCCGAGCCCAGACGCAAGGTCTGGTGGGCCTGATCCTGGCAGGGGACCACGCAGCCATCACGGAGGCGAGGGATTCATGGGCCAGATCCTCCATGAGAGTGTGGCTCTTGCTGGAGAGGGAGGAAGAGCTCGGCGAGGGCACAGCGGCCGTTGGCTCTTATCCTCAGCAGATGGAGACATACCACACACTTTGTTAGGCTTGTCCAGCACCACCTTTCGGGATCAGGTTGTTGGGGTTTTCTTCTCTTGTTTGTGTTTTTGGAAGCCTGATTGTTGTCCTTCCAAGAAAGCGCTCTCTGCCACTCACTCGCAATGGGGCTGGTGTCAATGGGCCTCATCCAGCGGGTCCGCGGAGCCACTACCGTGTGCGCTGGGAAAGCAGAACGAACCCCAAGCGCTCCCCGTCTCGCTGGCTCAGCAGCGCGGGTCTGCTCTGCTCCTGCTGCCTCCTCCATGTGGGAGTACGTACGAAGGCAGAAGCAGGTGGGGAAAATAATAGCATCCAGTCGTGGTCACTATGAATCCCACACACCTTCGGTAATTCCTCAGACACCTAATCTGCCCTTCCAGGCTGAGGTGTGTGTTGAGCCAAAGGTTCAGCTCTCCAAACCAGTGCGGAGATTAATTCCTCCCCCAGCGCTGATTGGAGTGCAGAAATCCTAATGACATGTTTGCAGCAGCTGTGCCATTCAAGAGTGATTTTCCAGGGGGGAAATGGTAATGGTCCAACACACTAGGGCTTACGGTTGTGTCACCACAGGGCTCTGGGATATTGCTGCAGAGTATCGCAGCGTGTTTTAATAAAGAAAGGACAGGATTCCCACTGGGCATGACAGTTAATCAGAGAAAAAGCAGGTTTATGTGTGAACAAAGCCATCATTACCTCTCTGCGTACTTCTTATTGACTGTGGGACTGAGGTGATAGCTCGTCTGCAGTATCATTAGGCTTGGTCGCCCTCCGAAAGATTGTTATTGAAGGTCTGTAAATTTGACAGATCAAACGGTAGGTTTTTGTCATGTCATAGGTGAGATGAGTTCCACAGCCTCTGCTTGATCAGCCCCATTGCTTGAAAGAGCAGTTGAAATGGAAAAATGTTCACGTTTTCTAATGATCCAAAAGTGCAAAACCTGACCCCCTTCTTGGAGTTAATAGCCAGAGAAATACTTAGATATGCAGCTCATACAAAAAGGCCCTGGAATATCTGCCACCCCCACGATCTCCTGCTGAGATGCAGGGTTGTACTCAGCATTTCATGTGTGGCTAGAAGATATGTGATAGTTATGCTTGACTGCTAATTGCAATTTAGGAAAAACGAGCCCTAATCCTGTCCTTCAGCTGGAAGGATGCTGAAAGGGTCAGAAGCTGCTGGCTTTATCCTTCAGCTTTATCCTCTCTGTGTTTCGTGCAGGCGCGGAGTGTACCACCTCATGTCTGGATCACAGTCACGAGCCCATCCTCCTGCGCGTGAACGAGACCGTGCAAGACATCCAGCACTGGATGAACCCGCAAAGAGTGAAGGTCAGTGCCTGAGGATTTTGCTAACCATATCCCTCGTTGCATGTTTATGTGCAGTGCGTGAACAGTGTTACCCGTGGTTCATTCAATGAGGGGAATGCATGGAGAATGTGCCTGTTAGAAAAGAATTCCTGATTTTTGTTGTGTCGTTGCGTGTTGTTCTGGTAACACAGTGGCTTCCTCTCCAAGTTGCTTTCTCTCTGTGATTACTCTGTGAAAGTCAGTTCAAGGTAAAGGCCCCAAATCAGCGTGCTCAGATCCACATACAGCGGGTCCGATCTGGAAACATGATTCATTACACAGGAAGATGTGACGGACAGTCAGAGAAAGGGCACTGGCCAGCTTTTATTTTCTTCCTCCTGCTCGGTGTTTTGCATTCTTTGGGTGGCAGGGCTGGATATTTCTGCGCTGCTTTTGGATGACAAAAGAAGCTGATACAGAGGGTGTTTCATTTCCCGAACCAGCAGAGCTGGCTGAGTCCTCCCCCCGCCCCTTCGCCCGCATGGCAGAGATGCCTGCTCAGCACAGCCCCTTCCAGAGGTCACCGCTTCTTCCTCCTGCCTGCTGCAAACGCACAGGCAGCATTAACCGCTCACGGTCCTGTGCGTCCTCCAGCGCACGCCGGCATCAGTCTGCCCTGATGGGGACATGCACACCCGTGTACAGCGCCTTACACGCACGTTCACCCCCGCACACACAAGCCACTGGCAAATAGCTGCTTGGTTTCGTGCCTGCACTGGGATAGCAGTGGGAGACACACTCATCTACCTCTTTCTGAAAACCCTCAAGCTATTTACACAAACGTGCCCTCCTGCCTAGAAATGCGTGTAACCAGGCACTTGTGCCCTCGCCGTATTTCTGCAGGTGTAGACGTTTATCGGGACGTGCTCACGTGCATGTCGGAAGACGCTGGCACATCACGTGTCACCAGGGTGCAGGTTGCTGATGGTGCTTGAGCAAATGCTGTCGGCTTTTACGTACTTGGCCCTGGCTTTGCAAGAGTCCGTTTTACACACTTGAACTCCATTTAGGAGGAAAATGAGCAGCCGACACAGCCCCAGCATGTCCTGAGCAGCTTTGACAGTCTGTTTGCTTCTCTAAAGACGTACCCACGGTTTGGGATTTTTGAAATCTGGCCTTGGCTGTGGATAGCTAGCTGCTCCAAAAATTTCTGCCACTTTATACTTCCCTATTTCACACGGAATAAATAGAATAAATCCCGGAAAGGGATTTTTAGGTGGGGAACCTAAGTCCAGAGCATACGAAAAGCTCGCAGTGTCCTTCCCTGCTTCCCATGCATTTCAGATGCCAAGATTATATTTCTGCCTAAGCCTAGGCTTTGCCAAGTTTCTGGCATGAAACATAAAGAAAACCCCTATCTCTGCATTAGGGGCAATTTCTCACTGGCCCTTTCCCGAGCGCTAGACTTTAAAGTGGTTTTGTAATTCATGGTGAAATAAAGTGACAGCTTCCCTCCCGTTCTCTGCTGTGCTCCTTCGTTTATTGATGCGGGTACGCAGAGGGAGCTGTAACGAGTTTTATACCTGCAGGTCTCTGGAGGGCTCATTAGGCAGCAGGGAAAACATATAGTAGTACAGGAGGAGATGAGGGGAGTGAGAGATGGAGGAGAAATCATGGTTTCCAAGAGTACAGTGGTAAATAAGACCTTTTTTTGCCCTGATGGTGAGGATCCTGCAAGAGCGTTAGGCTGTGAGCAGATACAAGTTCGGCCCCACAAGCACTTTGTAACTACAGGGTGAAAACTTGCGTTGGGAGATGGAGAACAGCCTGTAGGAGACCAGCAGGATGATGCTGGAGGGGATTTTTTTGGTAGCTGTAAAACATCCATCTAATTCAACTCTCCAGATAAGGGGAAGTCACCCACGGGGAGCAGGGCCTCGCAGGGGCCACCGTGGGAAATGCTGCTGCTGGTGGGACCGGGGAGACCCTGGAGAGACGGGACGGGGGTGCCTCAGGGGAAGGTCCCCATGGCAATGTGTATTATATCATTAATAATACGTGTCTCTATTTATGGTCAGTGACAGCTTGCTGTTGTGCCATACGAGTAAAGCAAGCAGCTGGTTGCATTTACACAGCAAGTCTTTGTGGATCTCAAAGTACTTGAATGACGCAAAGGAAACACTTTTAGTTACTTAATTTCAGGCACAAGTAATGTACAAATGAGTGCAGTATGAGAAGCAGATAAAGGCAGGATCGATCTCTGGAGCTTACCTTTGAGAGAACAGACACAGAGAAAAGACAGGGAGAGCTGGCAAGAAAAAAAAATTAAAAATTGTGTGTAGCTGCTCAAGCAACAGCTGTTATGGAAGCAAAATGGGAAGAGGGAACCATCCCTCCTCTGGGGGTTGTTCAGAGCAGAGCTGTGCAAATCACTTGATTTTTCGGTTCGCTGGAAGTTCTGTCAAATTAAAAAAAAAAAATGTTTTCTCCTAATCAAAGTGACTTTGTTTTTGTTGTGATTTTTGGTGAACCAAAAAATTGGAGAAAAAACCATGTTGGTTTGAACATAACTTAGCGTTTCATTTTTGTTTAATGAAAAATGAAAAAAAATGCCCTCTCAAAGGAACAACAACAACAACAGATATTTCATTTTGAAAAATGTCTAAATATTACTGTGTTTTTCAGAATTGGGTTAGGCCGAGTTGCTTTGTGGGGTCTGAAACAGTTTGCTGAAATCAGTGCACATTAACAGTGTCTTCGAAATCAGTATTTTCA